TAGTGGGTGAGACAGCAGAGGTCTGCTGCACCATGTGGGTCAGCTCCCTGGTGGTTGAACTCAGGCTATAGAGGTGTTAGTGCTGAGACTCAACCCCTAGGCCACCAGGCAGGCCCCCGCTTTTCTTTATTTCTGTAGGATGCAGAGGGACTCAGGCAGTAACTCAAGTTCTGCAATTTCTATGCTGCAGAAATGGGTTGTGACCTTGGGCAGTGTATATGAAGCTGGTCGTTTTAATAATTACTTGCTCTGGTAGAGAATGGCCCCCCAAATTATAAACTTAATCCTTATTGACTCCTGCCTACGCTCTCACTTCCTTTCCTGCCATTAACTGTTGGATGTAACTCCTGTCCAACAGAGAATATTCTCTCTCTCTCATATTACTTGTGCTTATTTGACTTGCATGCATATTTCAGACCTTACTATCTACTTTCTATTTGAGTTTAAAAGTTTGTCAGTTATCAGATATCAGTCATTTAATTCATGGATACAAATAACAGAAGGCTCAGCATTCTGGTCTTGAACATAATAGAGTGAATCTGAATCCTCTAAACTCTGAGCTAATCTCTTAAACTGTCCCTAATTTGGCTTAAGGAAATCAGCATCAACCTCAACAGCTTCACTCTAGTATCTTTAGCTCTTTAGTGAATTCTCAGTTTTTTTGTATATCTTCACTGTGGCAAACAGAGTATGAAGATTAAGACAAATGGATTGATGTGAGCTTTGCCAAGAGTACCCAGCCTGTATGGTGTTTTCTCTCTCTATGTCTCAAATATCAAGGGCTCTCTAAGATCCAAAACCAAGGGAGAGTTTGCAGTTAATATACTTGCATATACCCATATCTGTAACTATGTTTATGTATAATTTAAAAAATTTCTGGTATGCCTGTAACTATGAGTCCTTTAGGGTAAGGAGAAATGTGTGTATTGGATGTTACAGAGAGGTTACACATACATTTACTACTGATTGAAGAATAAACTAATTGACAACAAAAATATATACAAAGCATCTATCCTTTGGATGTTATTTGATAAATGTGCATGAATTATTTCTTATATTTGTCTTTTTCTGATCTTCATGAGATCACTTATTCAGATTCCATGTGCTACAGGTGCCTTTTCTGTTTCTATAGCTTTTCTTCAGAGGGTGCTGTATTTAGGATTGCAAGTTAGGTGGTTTCCATCTTACTGGCATAGCCAAGGTGGCTACATGCCAGGAGTGATCCTACCAGAAAGCATATATCTCATTCAGCTGCTTGTTGATTTGGAAGTGCTTGTTGATTTGGAAGAGTGTTGGCTCTTCTTGGCATTAGCCAGTGATGTCATCCCTATCTTCTCTCTTTTCTGGTTTCACTTCTCAGATATTTACTGACTAAGACTAGAGATATGAGTCCTAGGAAGATAAGAATGATAGTGGTGAGGGGCGGTCCAGGCTGAAAGAAAATCACAGCTAACTGATCTCTCTATGTGTCCACATGCTTTTTCTTTCCATCTTAGTTTTTGGAGACAAAATGAATCGCCTTTTACACAGCAAGTCTTCTCCATACATTAGATGCTGTCCACAAATACAACAAGTCGAGCTATGTCTTGCCAGTTGTCTTTTTTTTTTTTAAAGATTTATTTATTTGTACATACAGAACTGGGGTACAGGCCAGAGACTCAGGGGCGGTGAGAGGCTTCCCCAGAGAAAGAGTGGGGAGCAGAACAGGCAGATCGACGAAGTACACTGCTGAGGGGAGCAGCGGGCGGGTCAGAAGAGGTCTGCCGCCCATGTGGTCACCTCCGGGGCAGGCGGGAATCGAACTCATGCAGAAGTGGCTTTAGCTTCTCAATGCAGTGCTTTAACCCGCTGCGCCACCAGGGAGGGCCACCAGTTGTCGTTACCATTGCATGACCAGCTCAGCTTCCTATGTGTTTTATTCTTTCAAGTTTAGGAGCTAGTTGCTTTATTTAGCTTTTGCTTAAATATTCCTGCCCTTGGGAATTTTAGCTAAGATTTAAGGAAAATGAGAGTGATTTTTTAAATTTTTGGACTCTGGTTCTAAAGACTCAATTATTTTGACCAAGAACTAGATTCTCAACCCTTAAGAAAACTTTTAAAAGTGTTGTGCATGGTTATAATATTAGTATTTTCAAAATTGCTCCATGAAAGGAAAATCAGGACTCTGCCTTTGGAACGGTGGAGGGAAACCGAGTTCCTGCCTCTGGGGGAACTCACCTACTTGACCTTGGGATGTGACTGTGGAGGGGGTAGATGAAAATAGGTAATTTTAGCAGAAAGCAATAGCAAGAGGAAGGATTTTTCATTCTTGGAACAATTTATAGATGATATTCTTTTCTTTAAGAAATGTGTTCAATTATCAGATAGAAGCTATGGACAAGGAAGAAGAATCTCATTTTTATTTCAATTTGAAGACTTGGAGATGGATGGACATTTTTTTTTTTCCCTCAGAGAACTTTAAAGTTTAAAAGAATGTGAATGTTAGGAAAGATTACAGTTATCCTTGATGTAACTATTTTCCAGATCAATTGTAAAAAACACTGCCTTGTAATACATGATAGAATGTTTTAGAGGCTGATGAGTTGAGAAGGGTTTAGTGTGGGCACTATATTTTAAAATTTGCTTTGTAGGTAGAGCAAAAAAAAAAGAGTATGAAAAGGGAAATTTACAGGATGAAAGTATGAAAGATTTTCTTACTTCTCTTTGAGAAGGCTTGAACCTAAATTTTGTTATGCTGTTTTGAACTAGTTATTTGATATGGCAGAGAGCTAAAACTTAAGACAAAGTTGACACATTTATCTTTAAAAAATAGCAAATAAAACCCTACTATTAAAAAATTAACTCAAAATGAACCACAGACTTACATGTAACATGTAAAACTATAAAACATTTAAAAGAAAAATTTCAGAATACAAGGTGAAGAGTTTTCAGATTTGACATAAAAAGTCTTTCACATACACACACAAACTAGATTTCACTCCACAAGAGACTCTGTTAGGAGATGAAAAGATTAGCTTCAGAGCCATTTCATCAAAGAGAATACATCTTCTTTGTATACACACAAAGATTCATTCATTTACATGCAGGTATATACACAAAGATTGTATAAATATACATGTAGGTAGGTATACCCAGGTTACAATTCAGCACATGAAAGAGTTTAACTTCACTAGTCATTTGAGAGATGCACATTACAATCACAGTGACACATCCTGGAAGCTGGATCACTCACAAGCCACTGGTGGGGTATGGAGAGCCACTGACACTCTGGAAGATAATCCAGCAGTTTATTGTAAAACTAAACCTGTCACCCAACAGTTACACACTTGGGCATTTACCATGAAGAAATAAAAGCTCATATTCATATGAAAACATGGACATGATTATTGGTGGCAGCTTTATTTGTGACAGTGAAAACCTGGAAGCAGCTGATGGTTGGGTGGCCAAGCAAACTGTTCCCCACTCATACCATGGAATTTGGGTTGGATGCACACTGTAACCTGGGTAGATCCCGTGCTTGTATCCCTCATGCTGAGTGAAAAGCAGCTTCAAAACATTGCTAACACATATTGTTATATTTTTAGCATTATTGAAATGATGAAATCTGTAGGGAGGAAGACAAGATGAAAGTCAGTGATGTTGGAGGGAATGGGAGAGGTTGAGGTTACGAAACACTTGTGCTTCTTGATTTGGTTGTGAATTTGCACATATGATACACACAGCTACATGAAACTATGTATGTGTAAAATGGCATAGAACTACACGCACAAACACAAACTTAGAAATGAGTGCAAGTAAAATCTAAATAAGTTTTATGGGTTGTACCAATTTTCACTTCCTGGTTTTGAGACCACTGTACAGAGCTTTGAGGAGTACATGCACCCTCTTGCTACCTTTTTTTTTTTAATAATAAAATTTCCATACATGCATAATTACTTCAAATTAAAAATATTTTCAAAAATGTAGTTACTAAATGAAAAATGTATAGATCCCTTATACAGCAATTTTTATTGATACACTTCATGTTGACAAGCACATTTTATGAGATTTATTTCAGCATATTCTGTGGTAGGAAGAGATTGAAGAAAATATAAAATTGCACAAATACAAAGCTGCTTAAGAAAACAATGCCATGTTCATACAACAGTGTCTATGTCCATTTTGCTTGGAAAAAGCAAAGCACAGAAAGGCATGTGTAGGTTTGACTGAAAATAATGAATTGTGTGTGTGTAGAAATATAATAGTTGTCTCAGGGAGTGAACTGTGGTAATGAAGGATAAATGCATATGGTTCACGGTATATTATCTACATTATAGAAAACATCCATGACTACCTGGGTACTAGCTACCTTCCCTTCTCCTCTCACCATGACCTCATTTCTCTGTGGCCTAGAAGTGGAGAATTCCTTTACCTTTGCCATGCTCTTTCCTAACATCTATCAAGTTTGTTTGTGATTAGTCACAGCTGATCCCTATAGCCAGGCATAAAATCATTTGAAGAAATAGGTCTTTTAACTTATGTTCCCAGTTCTCTGTCAGAGAGACTTCTCGGTCAATCCACAGCCTATTTGACTGTCTTCAGAAACATAACCCATCCCCTTGAACTCAACTCTTTCACAACCTTTTGTAGTAATTTTCCCTAAAGACCATTCAAGAAACAATGAAACAATCAAAAAGATGAGTAATAGAAGGCTTTTCTGATTACTTAACCTCATGTACACTGTGCTCACCAAATACGAAATGTGACCTTACCTCACTCTTCTCCTCTGTAGATGGTGTAAGGTGGGCCTTGGCCGCTAGGGGGCAGTGGTTCCATTTCTGTCATCCAAAGGGCCTTAAAAGGCAGAGCCAGCTAGTTACTAGGGTTTATTGCTGATGGGCTGAGCTACCAATAGGAAAACTCCTGTGCATGAAAGAGCAAGAACTGAGACACAGAAGAAGCTCTTTGGCAAAGAGAAGGTTTGCAATCATCACAACTTGTGTCCAGACTGAGGTGTCAGGATGGAGATCACACTGGAATGTGCCTTCATAGTTCTGTGGCTTCAGGTTGGCTGTAAGTTGGAGGTTAATAGGCTCTTGCCATAGGGCACAGTTACTCAAAGTTGGGGGCAGGAGAGAGGGGTTTGTGTCAGCTCACCCAGATTTACTGGCGGGATTTTTCAAAACCTCTGAACTAAAATCTCTGTATTGTTTATGATTTTGGTTTCCTGAGCAGGGTTGAGTGGTGAAGACCAAGTGGAGCAGAACACTCAGACCCTGAGAACCAAGGAGGGAGACAGTGTCAGCCTTAAGTGCACTTACAAAGTCAGGGGGTTCACTGCACTACAGTGGTACAAGCAAGTTCCTGGAAGAGGCCCTGAAATGCTCTTCAACCTGTTTTCAGTTGGGACGAGTCAGCACAGAGAAAATCTCAATGTCAGTCTTTCAAATGACAGCAGTTCTCTGCACATCAGAGCCCCTATGCCTGGAGACTCAGCCACCTACCTCTGCGCTGTGGAAGCACAGTGTTTCCCGGGCACCTGCAGCCTGTACCCAAACTTGCAGCTGCGGCCCTGGAAGACAGCAGATACAGGTTTTAACTTAGCGCCCAGAACCTCTGCCCGTGGTCCTGCAGGAAATGAGGTCTTGTGACAGAGAAGGTGGGCAGAGATCACTTGGCCATTCTGTCTGGGTGCTTTTGAAGCCCTCTGTATGAACCAGTATCCTCTGCAGCAGTGCAGGGCCCCCTCCTACAGATGCAGATGGGGTAACGAATCTCAGGCTCTGAAGAAGAGTACTCCTCAAGTTGCTCTGAATACGACTTTTCAAGATGTACCATTTTGGCACGTGGATTACTTTTCCAGCTGAGATCAATTCACCATAGGCTCAGGAGGAAATTTTACCACTTCCTAGAAAAATGAAAATTGAGAGTACTCCCCAGAATTAGGACTTTTACCAGAAATAATCTTTCTATGGGAGAAATGTGCTTGTGTGGCAGGGCAAACATCTGGTCTTTGTCCTTTGAGTCACCCTAATCTGTCTCATGAGCTCCCCTTCCCTCTCCTTGATGCCCCAAGCCTCTGTCTCAGTCCTGACTCAAGAAAACTTTAGCAAACTTTGCCCCACTAACTTTCGAATTTACATCCCTATAGCTCCTCCATAATATGTAATTAAATTGGATCTTTTCTTCTCCTAGTAGATTACTAAACTGTTCCCTCCTCTTGGCTGCCCTTAAAGATTCCCTTAATTCACACTTTACATCCTTTCTTACTAATCAATTGCAAAAAGAATTAAGAATCATAGTATTAATATTCAGTGTTTGTGATATCAGGAAATAAGTATTGTATTTGGTAGCTGAAGTATAAACTAATAAAAAAAAGTAAAGGAATTATTAACATGTTATTAGATGCCAGAAATTGTACTTGGTTGGGAATATTTTTCTTAAGAAATAAACTTCTAAATAATATATACAACTGTACTGTGTCTGTAGCAGGAAAAAATTGAAAATTTTAAATATCCTTCAATACAAACATTGCAACTTTCTATCACGCCCTACCCACATTCCTTGCCCTCTGCATATTTTCCATCTAATGTTCCTGAATTAAAATAAATTTTCCATCTGGCTATTCTTTTTATAACAAAATGATAATCTACTAAGTAAAAGAATTTGAGTTTTGCAAATTAAATGAAATTGAGGAGGGGATTTATACAGCCAGCTGGTCAGAATCACAGGTCGTAGCCAGGGCTTGTGAATGGTGTTAAAGTGGAGGGTATTCTTGGGGGACCAAGACTTTGCTTGTAAAATCCGACTGTCTCTGGGTAGTAGCAGAACGTAGTTGAGACACCTTTTTGATGTCTGAGCGTTACTTGCCACTGGTGTGGGGAAGTTCCCCTACTCTCAACCCAGACATCAGAATTTGGTGACACCTGTTCATAACCCAGCAGGATTTGCTGGCCTCAAAGAAGAGCAGAAGTGAAAGGAAGATGGATGTTTTAAACGGGGCTAAACTGAGACTTACTTAACTGAAAATGGCCCACAGGTTTTTTTTTTTTTTTTAAAGATTTATTTATTTGTTCATACAGAACTGGGGTACAGGCCAGAGGCCCAGGGGCGGCGAGAGGCTTCACCAGAGACAGAGTGGGGAACAGAACAGGCAGATCGACGAAGTACACTGCTGAGGGGAGCAGCGGGCGGGCCAGGAGAGGTCTGCCAAGCCATGTGGTCACCTCCGGGGCAGGCGGGAATCGAACCCATGCGGAAGGGTTTCAGCTTCTCAGTGCTGTGCTTTTGTGCTTTAACCCGCTGCGCCACCAGGGAGGGCCTGGTTCACAGGTTTTATGGTTTTCTTCAAGATGTCTTTAAAGGACCAGGTCTAAGATAACTCCAAAGGATCCTATTAGTTCATAAGCTTCCTTGTTTTCTTTCAATATTTTCCCCTCTCTCCTTTGCTCCACTTAGAAATGTTAATTTTGCCTAAAATAGGTAAACTTACATTATTTAATTGACTCATCTCCTAGACCTTTCAATTTACCTATGGGGCTGAAACTTTTGAAAGAAGTTTCCTTTTTCTGGCTATACATCCTTCCCTTGAAATAGTGAGCTGCGAATCCCCAACTTCAAGGAGGAACGATCATGATTTTAAAAAAAAATTAAAAAAAAAAAAAAGCAAAAACTTTGAACTGCCACACATGGGGATGGTTCTGAGCCACGACTGGCCAAAATTGGTTCAGTGCTTTCTGTAACCTGAGAGCACAGCTGAGCCTTGACTGTCTGATTCTCTCTCTCCCTGAGGCCAGCGATGGACTGGCGGGATCTGAAGGGAGGCATTCACGTGCTCAGTCACAAGAGGGCGCTGCTGTGCTGTCAGCAAAGCCCCGAAGAGTTGAAGCGTGAGCTGGCTCCCAGTCGGTATTGAACTTGCCCAGAAACAGGCAAATGCTATATTTCATTTTCTTTGTTGTAAGCAGAGCAGTCTGTGCACAGCTTGTTGAATGATCCCTGGCCTTGTCCCAATCCATTAAGAAAGGTTTTCCTTCCATTCAAAGTAGGTTGACAGAAAAAAGAAGGCAGGAGTAGCTGTGCAACTTCAAACTTAAGGATTTATTTCTGTCAATGTTTTCATAGAGATAGAGAAAAGTAGATTTTTTTTTCTTTGTGGGAAGGGATTCTTCCTTTCCATCTATTTCAGTTCTCTTAAATTTGAGAAGACGACAAGAAAAAGTTTTCAAGGCTACTCCTGTCTTTCTTACAGTTCTGCTCCCTTGGTCCCCTTTTCTCCCCTCTTTCCGCCCCCCCTCCTCTGCGGGTCAACTGTGGGTGCTGACACTAGACACCCACCTGGGGCTGTGTCATTCCCTGCTCTTGTCCTTCATGCCACGACCCACAGTTTCTAAATGTCCTCTTAGAGACACGTGATCCCAGGAGGTGGTTCAGGACAGCAGGGAATTGGGCAACTTGTTTCTAGATCAGAACCTGACCTCAAACTTCCCTGAGCCTCATTTGTTTTTTTCCTGTCATCTGCACAGACTTTCTCCATCCTTTCCAATGATGTAAGACTTGATTAGCTAGAAAACTCTGGAGCATCAGTTTACTGAGAAGATAATGTATTTTCTCTTGCATTGTGAAAAAGTAAGAAGGGTTCACGATGGATGTTTCCCTGAACTTTTTTGTTTTCCTCTTTCAAATTGAACTTACTGTAGCTGAGAATTCATAAATGTTTGCGAGGGATTGCCTGGGGTGAGAGATCAGGCTTATTTCATATTTTCAAGTCTAGCTTCAGGACTTCACCAGACCTAAGCAGCTGAGTTGACTAAGATATATCTTCCTGGCTGACTCCAAGTCTGGGGATTCCCAGGCGATAACCCCAAGTCACCGACTTGCTGGGGCGTTCAGCTAATGGGCCTGTACTGGGTTACCTCCCTGGGGCCAGTTCAGCATCAGCCTGAAAGATGAGGCTGGAGGTGGTTGTATGCCTCACCCTGGGTTAGTGCTTGAGGCTAAGAAAAACTGAGATTGGCAATCAAGAGGAGAGACCCGCTGCCTCCCTTCTGTCTCACTGTCTTTCCCCAAGGTGCTGAGAGTGAAAATTCAGATCATACCACCACTCTGTGAGGACGTCACACACAGTGTGAGGGCTACCTCACAGCTCATATAGGCAAGTTGTTTTCAGACCTACAAGGCAATGGTTTTCCATTCCCAGCGTGATTTGCGATATTCAGACCACACAGTTCAAGTCCTTGGACGGTGCTGATGAACCGGAAGTGAACATACCAAGTTCCTATTCCAGTGCTGCAGGAAATGGGTGCATCACCTGGTATGGGCAATTTTATTCCAGGGCCTATAGTGTCTGATTTGAGGTTTAAAGAACACTTTTCACTCTCAGCACCTTGGGCGAAGGACAGTGAGACAAATGGAGGCAGCATGTCTCTTCTGATTACCAGTGCCAGTTTTCTTAGCCTCACCTGGTCTCTTGACCATCCCGATGGACAGGAAGTCCAGTGCCTGATGCTGCAGCAGACATGCTGGGTGGGCCCTGTGTGTGAGCTGTGGGAGGGGTGTGGGAAGGGACCATTGGCCAGGCTGCCTGGGAAGGAGGGAGAGACTCCACTTAAATAGGCTGCACAGATAACGTGAACTTAGAGGAAGAAAAACAAAAGAAGGAAAGGGGAAAAATGAGAAGAAGCTACATGAGACCAAGAACCACATCAGGAAAGAAAGAGCAGGTCCAACGTAAAGTTCATAACCTGGTCATCACTTTTCTAGAACTATCAAGGTCTCTCCATTTTTTTCAGTGGCACACATGTACTTGAGAATCAGGTGAATCTTGAACATTGGCTGGAAAGAGACAGTGTCTTGATACTGTTGCAATTTTTCTTTGCTTTTCTATTTATTGATTATCACTCTATTTGGGTGATAGAACATGACATAAATTAATATTTAATTGTTTGAAGTATTAAAACAATTTAAAGCATATATAATCAAAAGGGAAATTTCCTTGCTATCGCCCTGTCAAGTTTTCAATGACTATAAAGGTTTTCAACGATCTTAATTTAATAAAATATATATAATGAAAACATCATTTATAATGATATATTTAAATTTAAATGTAAAAACTGATTTGATTGAATATGTTAGACTTTTTAGAAGTTAGGCAATTTCAGTCTATTTATTCACTTCCATTACTGAATATCAAATGTAGATCTACCAAAATGTATTGGGTAATTGTGTTGACAGATATTCAAAAGTTTATGTTTTTTCCTTGCTACATACACTGTACAACTTATTATTGTTTATTATTATTTATAAGGGTATTTCTTAGGATATAATTCCCAGCCAAATGGAATCTTGGGTACCCAATGATATGTTAACAATGATTTTAAAACTTAGTTATGGTTTAAAACTATCTGATATGACCAGGGCCCAGTTCCTGAAATTATCAGAAATGGTGAATACTAATATGATTCTTAGATCTTTTTGCAATCTGATTGGTGAGAAATGATATAAAGAACATTTTTAAGAAAGTAAATGAAAGGAAACCAATGTTTCATGGCTGAGTGATAGGAGCAGATTGGTGGAGCGCTCTGGAGAAAGCAAGTGTGAGGAATGGTAGAAATCTAGAGCTCTTCCTAATCTCATCACTGAAGCTAAAATTTCTTTCTATGTGCTGTTCTAACTACATTCTATTCATTTGACATTTAAGCTGTTCCTTCAGAAGGAGGAGAAATACTTCTCTGGCAATGGCAAAATTGGTCCTGAGATGGCAGTATTTCCATTCCCTCCCCTCACCCCCACCATATCAGTGTGTCTCGTGTGTGTGTGTGTGTGTGTGTGTGTGTGGTGTGCGCATGTATGAGATATTTCTGATTGGCCAGATCCACTCTGTCTCCTGAAGAAATGTTTGAGCATGTGAGGGAGCAAGACAGGTGCTTTATCTTGCCAGCCCTTGTCATCTCACAGACTCAAGAGTTCAGTTCTCGGTGGGTCTGAGTAACAGAGAATGGACAGAGCCCTCATTCTGCTCATCTTTTGGCTGCAACTAAACAGTAAGTTGAAGGGATGTGGATTAGGGCAAAGAAGAATCAGACCCTGAGACATCCTCCCCAGGGAAAAAGCAAAACAGGGAGCCTTTTCTGTATGGTTTTCACAGAACTTCTAAAGACATTGAATAAGTAGGTACTAACCAGCCCCTTTCTGTGGTCTCTTTTGACAGTGGGGAGCAGTAAGCAGGAGGTGAGTCAGAGCCCCGCACTTCTGCGTGTCCAGGAAGAAGACAGCCCGGGTCTCAACTGCAGCTTCACTGACAGCGGCATTTACTTTCTGCAATGGTTTAGGCAGGAGCCTGGGAGAGGACTCACCTCTCTGCTGGTGATTCAGTCAAATGAGAGAGAACGAGCAAGTGGAAGAATTAGAGCCTTGCTGGATACATCGTCAACCCACAGTGCTCTGTACATTGCAGCTGCTCAGCCCGGGGACTCTGCCACCTACCTCTGTGCTGTGAGCACAGTGCCTGGGAGGCACCTGCCGCCTGCACCTGAACCCTGCGCTGGGTTCCGGCCCCACGTCCTAACGCGAAGCCCAGGAAATTTTTGCATTAAGGGGTTTTCTAAATAGGCGGCTCAGAGAGAAACAATTAAATAAACAAAATCTGATAGAATCATCAGAGTTAAATTGTGGATTCTTGAGCTTTAGATTTTTATCAATTTCAATTTAGTTTTATTGAGATTATTTCACTGCCATAGAGTACACCCTTTTAAAGTGAGCGATTGAGTGGCATCTAATGTCTTCACAGCCATCACCTCTAATTTCAAAGCCTTGTCACCCATTAAGCACTCACCCTTCCTCCCGCTGACCCCCAGCCCTGCAGCCAGCAGCCTGCTTTTCTTCTCTGTGGATTTGCCCTTTCTACACATTTCATATAAATGGTATCACCCACTCTGTGGACTTTTGTGCGAGACGTTTTTCCGTACTGAAAACTTTCCTGTTTTCCAGCTTACGAACCCTAATCATCACGTGGGATGCTCTGCTTCTAATTAGCCTGTGTTCATCTTCCCCATTATTTTCTGTGTCTGTTTCGCTAGAAGTTTGACAGTGTTGCCGGTCATTTAAAATAACCGTTTCTTTGATTTTTCTCTTTTTATTTTCAACTGTATTGCTTTGTGCCTCAACCAAATTAATTTTGTATTTATGTTTATGTAGGATTTGTTTAGAATTAACTTTCTTTTTTATAGTTCTTGAGGTAAGCACTTAGATGATTGATTTGAAAATTTTACTCTTTTAAAATATAACTTTGGCCCTCCCTGGTGGCGCAGCGGGTTAGGTTAAGGCATAGCACTGAGAAGTTTAAGCCACTTCCGCATGAGTTCGATCCCCGCCTGCCCCTGAGGAGATCCACATGGTGTGGCAGACCTCTCCTGACCCGCCTGCTGCTCCCCTCAGCAGTGTACTTCCTTGATCTGCCTGTTCTACTCCCCTCTCTGTCTCTGGTGAATCCTCTCACCCTCTGCATCTCTGGCTTGTACCCCAGCTCTATATGAATAAATAAATAAATCTTTAAAATAAAATAAAATATAACTTTTAGTGCTTACCTTTCCTTCCCTCCTACTACACACAAACTTTGCTGTTTATTTATATTAGATCAAATGCATCTGATTTTCCTAAGTACATTCTTTGTAATCCACAGATCTTCAGAATTGTGTTTAGTTGACATGTATTACACTGTCCTGTTATTTACCTTCCAGATATTTATCTGTCAACAAGTGGGATTTATATCCGTGGCTCACTGTCACTTCAGTATGTATGTTTATCTTTGCCACAAACATGTCACAGACTGAAATATCAGGGGTAGTTCTTAAGCAATAATTTTTCTTGACACTGGTGTTAATATCTGACATTGTTTTTTGTTGCTGTTCTGTTGCTAATGATGCATCCACAAATATTTCTCTCTCAAGGTCCATTGTCTGCAACTTGCTTCACTGAAAACTTCTCCCCACCACTCACTGCTTCCAATGCACTTCAGTAGTTTCATTGCTCACTGCTGCCCTAGCTGTGCACCCCCGTCCTCTAGCTGGGGTTCCACACCTCTGCTGGACAATGCCCTTGCTTATGTTCTTCCTTTAGTATAAAACACAAACCTGTCTATTGAGGATTTTATTAACTTCTTACTGATTGGCCACAGAATAATTTTTTTTAAAGATTTATTTATTTATTCATACAGAACTGGGGTACAGGCCAGAGATGTAGAGGGTGAGAGGATTCACCTGAGACAGAGTGGGGAGCACAACAGGCAGATCGACGAAGTACACTGCTGAGGGGAGCAACGGGCGGGTCAGGAGAGGTCTGCTGCGCCATGTGGTCACCTCCGGGGCAGGTGGGAATCGAACTCATGTGGCAGTGGCTTAAGCTTCTTAGTGCTGTGCTTTAACCCGCTGCGCCACCAGGGAGGGCCAGAATAATTCTTTCTGTGGGGTAAAGGTAAAGTTCACACATGTGTCAGCATAATGAGGACAGTCATGGCGTGGATGGCAGAGTTCCAGGTGATAGCCAGGGTGTCTGCCTTAGATGGAAGCCCTGTGGGATTTCCTCCAGAGTGTGGGAAGGATGTAGAACGTGATGGGGGTCATTTCTATGCTGTTATATGGCAAAAGTGATAGGGTTTGGAGGTGTTCCTAGGACTTGTACCACTTAAGAAAACCTGAAATGTAATGAAATCATGTAGCACACAACAAAGTCATTGAGGTTTTCCAAAATTTAACCATAACTGAACAAATTTACATGATGTTATTTTAATATGCTCTAAATTAAAAATTAAAAAGCAATTTTGAATAACCAGCTAGTAGTAAAGATGTAATATCTTTCTTTCTCTATATAGGTAGGATTACAAATTTATTGTCATATGAAGAGACATTAAAAAAGTATTAATAAGAACATATATACAATGGAATATTACTCAGCGACCAAAAAAGAGAAACACATGTCTTTTGCAGCAACTTGGATGGAGCTGGAAAAGATCATGCTTAGTGAGATAAGCCAGAAAG